AAACCATTCGATTTCGTTGACACTCCACGAAAATACTGAAATAATCCATATTCTGAAATCTCGTCATCAACGCAAAAAATCAATTCTGGTTCTGTTCAGTCTTTTCCAACATGAAATCGGCCATTCTTATTCTGTAACTACAACAAAACATTCGGATTCTTTAGAAACATGGACAAAATGCGGAGGCCAAAACCCGATCAAGCACGAAAGGTCCACCAACTGAAAGGTTCTTCCATGCAGCAAAAGCTTCGCCTTATGAAGTGGTCGCATCATTGAGAAGTTTCTTTCCAAGGAGCTGCTAAAACAGCATATTACATTAATCGTTAGGCGATGACTAGGCTGACGCCATGCGTTCAACTGGTTGAATAGCACCGATAGAGATTTGCTATTTTAGAATGCTCAGAATCATTCAGGACTCATTCATATGACGTTCACGTGCTAGTCACGTAAAGGCGACGAATGGCGATGATTTCATGATGAGCCACAGCAGATGGGCAACTGATGGAGGTGAAGAGCAGCACGTTGGCCGGCCAGGGAAGCACGCTGCGCCGGTTGTTGAAAGCAGTTCGTCGAGAACGAAGGACAGTAGTCGTGGAATAAGTGGTAGATATTATTGTTCGAAGTAGAGCGTCATGGATGTGATCCACAGTAGATGAAGAGAACTTTAAAATGAAACCACAACACTTGTATATACAGAACCCTGTCAGGTCGTGTAGATTATTTTTGTTTGATCGATTTTTAATACTGACAAACATCGTGTGACGAAATGCGTTCGCCAACATGGTAGGTTCATGGTTCAATCGCGTACAATTAAGTCAGAGTGTGCTGGCAACCAGCCTAGCTTTCGGCTGAGAATATTGTAGGCGAGATATGGCCCATTATCAATTGCAAGAGCCAAATTGAGTTACACTTACATCAGTGGAACTGACCCAGTCAAACTGTTGAGCTTCCTCACTGCTCCTTTACCAGTGAATACCATAACCGATTCATTTTTATGCGATTTCATTATAGCAGAATAAAGATATTTTTATCGAAAAAAACAACCTAAAATAAATTAAAAATCCACAATATGCATAAAATAAAGGACAAAGCTCTCGACGTTGATCAATCTCTGGGGGGTGGGCCTTGCATTCGACTTCATAAAGCATCGTTGGAGATGATTGAATGCATATCTGGTCTCTACAATGACTCAAGCTGGCCTACCGATGTATCGACCCAGTGCTGCTATCCTTCCAGACAAATCTGGTACCAATTTACGGACCCCAGACGGATGGAAGGCTTGGTGAGCCATGAAAGCGGGGATCGACCTCATGTAAGTGTAGCAGGGCGCGTCCGACCACTACGCCACACGCGCCCTCAACATGCATATAGATCTGAAATATATGAAATTGGAAACTGTGTAATTAAAGAAACTGGGGAATTTTTGAAATTACAAAGCTGAATATTTTTGCAGTTATTTACATACATTGTGCTGTTTCCTCCGTTTCTATCAATCTTAATGAAGCTTTCATTTTCTTATGGCACACACTCAATATCGCATCTTTGCTGTTTAAGACAGCTTATCAAGCTTGGAGCAAAATTTACCAAAAGAAAAAACATCTGCAAAAATTGGTTGAAACTGCATCGAAGCTGAATGTGTAAATATCAGGTTCAATTAGTATTCAGCTTCATCAGCACTGAGGGATATGTTAATCCCATATTCAATTCCAAAGTGAAATTCTCGATAGACCGCAGAAGATATGGTTAAATTAAAAATCTTTTGGAATTGTTTAGCGCGAAATGTAGCCCAGATGCCTGCTACGGTAGCGATCGCATGAATTTCTAAAGTACAATTCCGCTTCATCGGTGTGATTTCGATCGAATAGAAATCGTGCGACCGTGAAACGGTTTGAATACCACTCGAATTGAATGTGCTGGTTTATCGATTTACCAATTATTTCGAAACAAACTCCGTGAAAATTTCGTAATAGAATCGTTTTTGAAGGTGCGGGATTTCGCCAATGCCTTTTCCCGTTGGTTGCTGATTGTGTTCCGCCGATGTTTCGGAGCCGACTCATCGTCTATGAGACTGCAGAAGTCGAAGCTCAGCCGGAAGACACACCGCTGCCAGCTGGGCCCTGCGGGTGCCGCGCCGCCAACGTGCGTGCCACGTGCGCGTCACGTGCGCCAAGCCCTTCCCCTCGCCGCCGCCCCGCCCTTCTTCCTCTTCGCACTCGGCGGCTGGCGTACAACGTAGACATCGGGACTGCTGGCGTCGTTTCGAAGCTGCCATTCTGCTCAGTCTTGTTGGTTCTAGGCATACTCAGTCCTGACTACTGTGTCATCTTTCGCTGATTTGCACGTAGGTGTTTAGAACTAATCGGGGTTTTAGGAAACTGACTTTCCTTTAACCTCGACACGACTAGTCAAGATGCATTTTTTCCATTGACAAGCTAACACGACGTTATTAAAAATCTGTCAGCCTTTTTATCAATTTTTCCCTTTTACTTCTTGTCAGTTTACCGATGAAAAAATACAATGGAGGTTTTTTAAAGCTTCTACCAGTGTTATAATCTAGCAGAATCTAATCCGAATCGTCTAGTCATTTCGTTCTTGCTGCTTGAAGGCAAAGGAAAATTGGTTTGTTGCTTAGGCATGACCTACCCTTCGTTGTTCACGAAGGTGTTTTGGCTGAAGGCAGTTTGACAGCTGCAGCCATGACGGTGTTTTGATGCGTATTGATCGTTGCGATCTTCGTTTGTCCGTCCATCGAAGGCAATCCTGTTTTCGACGCCACTGAATCGTAGCATTCGATTGTAAAATTTTCGGAAGATTCGTAGACGCTGTGTCTCCGATTTCCTCAGTTCCTCGGTCGTAACAGTAGTTACTAGTTGTTACCGAACTGGCTTGTTGAATTGATGGTCAGACGATGACATTGGTGTGGAGGAAGTGGACAACAAAAAGGTATAGCAGGCACCGCTACAAATACTATTCTCGGTATCCAATCACCCGAACCGACGTAGCCTTTCCATTTCGTCCCAGAAGTCGTCCATCAACGCTTACATCTTAAATCTCAAACGAGAACGTCTTGTTCGCATGATGAGAGTACGGTAGTATTGAAAAAGAAAACGTCGAAGTCATTTTTCAGTCTTTATGAAGGCGAAGACATCGAATGGCGTTTAATCAAGTATCCTGCCGAATAACTAACTATTCGTCGATTCCCAAAACCGACTTTCTGTTAACCTCGGCATTAATTGATAATTCAATATTTTTCTCCAATAAACAGACACGAGGTTGTTAATATAGAATTTATTAGAATACAATAGCTGACGTTTCGGCGGTTTCGCCTTCTTCAGAGCCGTTTATTTGTTGTAAGTATTTAAGTTAGTTGATGGATAGCAGCCGTGCAGGGTAATACATGGGTGATAACAGTTATCCATCAACTAACTCAAATACAGTTATACAAGTACAGTTATTTGTAGTTAGACAACCAGCCGTTTTCACGGTGCTCGAACGGAGCTGTTTACCTTTTTTTACCTACTCACTCGACTCTTTGCAGAGTTATTCTTCTCCTTTCGTTCTTTATTTCCAACGTCCTCTCCAAAGACTATAGTTAAGAGTGTAAATAGCTTCATTTTTATACTAAGTGCTTGTGATCTGTCCTAATTGTGCGTCCATTGATAACCGGCACGAATTTGATGTCGATCAACAGCCATTTAGTTTACGGTTTCTAGCTTATATTCACTCAGAGCAGAGAATACGCACCACTGGCGTGCTCGTTCTTTGTGCTCAAAACCTCGTTACACTCGGACGTCGGGCGCCTTCTGTGTGTCTGTGTGTGTGTGAGTGTGCATGTGATGCATTCGGAACGAATGTTTTTGCCTTTTCCTGGGGCACATGACAAATACAACCGACGTTTCGACCGAATTCACTGATGTGCCCGTGACTGTAACGAGGAAGAACGAAACCGGAGACTATCGATATAAGGTGTGTTTCTCGCTTAACAATCACCTCTCCATGCCTCCGATGGAGCATTTCTCAAAATCTCCATCTTCTAGACTTCGTCAAAGCTGTCTGTTTCTCTTATTCGTACCTTATTTGAGTAGTGTTTTCTTGTTTGTAAAATAGAAACCAATTTGTTTCGACGCATGGATATGATTGGCGAAAGTATAGCCTTGAAGGATACCTGTAAATAACCCAAATCATGCCTTATGTCATGTAGAGATTGCCAGTGGCTTCATTATCGTCTAGAGTCTTTAATCATCTACGAAGCCTAGAATATATTAACAAAGTGATTCGTTAACGGAAATCTAAGCTGAATCCACTTCGTTCCGCCAGTCAGTGACGATAGCATTGTACCTTTGACATCTAGCTAGAGACTGTTTGCATTACTACGGTGCCCGTAGATATGAACCATCGATTTTTGACTAACCGTATGAAGAATGGAATTCACTTATCATATTAGAAACGTGTGCATCCAACAGGAAATTCTGTCATTCACTATCAGGATCGCTCATTTTGAAAAGAATTACAACTCATTTGAACTTGTTGTAATGACAAGTTACCAGCTTTTCTCCATTACCCTTTTGGGTTAAAGTGACTGGGTGGTTTAGAAGACGGACACGTTTTGATGACAATAGACTAATAGGATTTGCTTCGCGATTTATAGTGATATCTGTGATTATTATGCTAACTTTTTATTTGCTGCCTAATATGATCTTTTACAAAAATACGAAACGAAGGACCTGCATAGTGTGATGGTGAACGCGTTACCCCCGGAAAGGGTAATAGCGCGTTCGTTCCCCACCGCAGACATCTGTATCCAGAGTTTTGCAGAAATCTCAGCATCATTGTGGTTGTATTTCGCATCTTTGATTATTGTTGAGTCATTGAATTGCTTACTTCTGTTATTACGCCTTAGCTCTTCTTACCTTTCTCCACGCCTTATCTTTTAAATGTCGCCTTTGTGATTTCGTTAGCTATCGAGATCAGATCCATCTGAGTGTTTGTTCCTATTCAGAATGTCGATTTCATTCCGTGTGAATCCAGAATACGCTGCCATGAGTGAAATAGTGCCGGGTCTTTTTATCTGTGGTGTAAGTGCGTTGACAAGTGAAGAGATGAAGGCGAACAAAATCACTCACATCATCAACGCCACCGCTGAAGTGCCAAATTTACGAAGTCTGGGCGATATTCAACGTACAAAACTCTGGCTTGAAGACACACCACAGACCTACATCTATCAGCATTTGGAATTGCAAAGTGATCAGGTATGATTCTGATCCTTGTCTTATTTCTACTTCGAATACAGTTACTATGGCGTACTTATCGCTTAAATCAGATTTGGGCTAGCTGGTTCGAGGGTTGTGTTACACATTATCGCATGGAATGTACTCACACTTGTTACTGTATCCACATAAAAGTACTGTGCTCCTACCTAAATTCTAGCATTCCAAATCAAACGCCTAACGTAATGATAGATAGCGGCTGTTCAAAACTGTCTTGTAAATCCTAAGACTTTCGTACAGTTGAATTCGAACTCTTCCAATTTATATCGATTTTTAGATTCAAGTAATCATCGCTGACGGTGGACGAGTTCTAGTGCACTGCGTGGCCGGCGTTTCACGTTCTGCTTCTATCTGCCTCGCCTTCTTAACCAAATATAGGTAGGCGTCAGGTCTTCACACCCTACTGCTTATCGTACTGTTTATTTCAGCGTCGTATTACGATTTCATAGGATAGTATATGATTTTGGTTGCCTTAGGTGTCGTTCTCTTCGTGAGGCTTATCATTTGATGAAGTCAAAGAGGCCAATGGTGCGCCCGAATCTCGGCTTTTGGAGACAACTTATCGCTTTTGAGCAGGTAAAACCTAAAAGTTTTCCTAGTTTATATTACCCCTCTAACTAAAAATGGTATATGTGCTGTAATGGCATTTGCTTGGTTTTTCGATAAGGAAACTACACCTTATGTCCTCTTCAAAACACGAGTTCTCACACAAGCTAGCTGAATGATTTTTCTCGCCCCATAGGTTCTCAGAAGACTTCGTTCCAAAATCACTTCCCGTGCGAGCACAAAAATTGTTTAGAAATCGTGATTTCACCGCTTGATTTCTCGTCTTGTTAAGAACGTGGATGTATTTCTTATTAGTGGTAGTATGTAGGCGTGTCAGCAAAATAGAACCGTTGAGTGAAGAAATCAATCGAAAGTTTGGTTGATTTTCCAGAACGTGAAGGAGAACTCGGGTAGTGTTCGTCTCGTTCGAGACGAGGCGCAACCAGAATGTCTGCTCCCGGACGTTTACCTATCGATTGCAATCCAGCCTCACCCGGTGGTAAGTGGCCTTTCTGTGTCACGTCGCATCGCTAGAGAGAAAACAAGGGCTACCATTAATGCACTTGGGTAATGTTGCACAGCAATACACAATGCTCATGGCCATGCGGCGAACTGCCATCAGCGTTCCTTAGCTGTTAATGCGGTAGTGAACCTGTTGGTCATCAGAGTTAGGTCAGGCTTTGATAGGGAACTTCCTGAACTGAAACCAAAAAGAAACGTTATAGTACAGGTCTGGAATATGTGATCTGAAGCACAAACAACGAGACTAGGTATTTCCCAAGAAATGTGGGATGTTGCCTGCTGAAAAGTGATGCTTAAAACGATCTTTCAATACCAACGGTGTTTGAAACGGTTTCATTTTCAAATATCTGGAACTTCGTATGTAGTATTATAGTGTTCAAATATATGGAGTAGAGTGATAATAGAACAGTTCAAGACGATGAGATTGAGCTGAACACACGTTTGGTGCTCAGCAGCTGCGACGACCCGGACCGAAATCGAAACAGATTACTTAGTGGTGTGAGGGAAGTCAACTTGGTCGAGAAAACTCGCAGTGCAGAAAGAAGAAGAAAAAGAAGCTATAATGCGAGCAAAATTGTACTAGGCTTACGGAATCCACTTTATGCACATGTTTCGATTGAAAAGTGATGAAACTGCGAAAAAACAACCGTGATGTTAGAGAGTAGATGGATGGAGAGTCGTATTGTTGTCCACTAGGTCACGGGGTTTTTTTTTTATGAAGTCTAAGTGGCGTTACGGTCGGTACGTATTTCTCCTTACCAAATGTTCTGATCTCATTCTACGCCTGATTATCCTCCATTGTTGAATCGCCTTTATTCAGAATGTTGATCAAGATTCGGAACGACAAGGTGATGAGTCGAGAGATCGACGCTCTTCTGGTGTCCGACCAAAGTTCCAACCAGTACTCGAGCCACTCGTTGAAATCACTGAGGCGGTCTGCTAGTCGACACTTCTATCATAAAGTTTACTCAGGGATTCAACAAACAGGTTTCAGTTAACTTGGAAGAGAGCATTACCGTTTTAGAGATCGTGAAAGAAGACCATAAATTCTTTGACATCTGCTGCGGAAATATGCTCTCGCTTATTCCAAGTACTTCACTTCTGTATTGCTTTCTCCACATCGATGGAATTGTTTATCGAGAAAAAAAACTTCACCTGACCATCATGGTGTTTTTTTTCAAAAAATATAGCACATATTTTAATTACTTTGTATTTTTGAAATTTATGAGTTTATATTTATTCTATTAGCTTCTATGGGCATCATGTGATGGTTGTCTTTTTGTTTCTTCGTAGTCATCACGGTACACATCCCACCAATCTAGCATACGGTCGGCTACGGGTTGCTTGCCTTCTATGCAGCGATTATCGTTAGGGTTCATTACCACTACAATAACGAGATACTCTCGCATCTGAACTTCTTCATGTATAACTTTGCATACCAGCTTTCTTGTTAGTCCTCGAATAGAATAGATTTTTTCTTTGTTATGTTACGAGTTTTGAGTAGACGATTGACGCAACGGCGTTCATTACTCATGCAATTTGTGCTGTAACGTCTTCCGTTTGTTAACTTTTTGAGCTAGTTGCAATGTTCTTCGTCTTTTTTCTTTTTGTAAATAATTGTTAATAAATTGCTCAAATTTGCAGTTCTTGGTCGTTTACATCGAGTCTGAGAGAATCTCAAGTGCTAATGTTCTAATGTCTTCAAAGCTGATTTGTACCTTTAAATTCTCCGTCACCCATTAACATATCAGTGATTAGTTGCTAAACATCCGAGGCTATAAGCAACTCTTTGGTTTTAAATCTACAGCGCTTGGTAATATGTCTTTCCTATCAGATACATTCACGTGTCTCGTGACGGACATGAGAGTTTAGTTCTGAGAAAAGTTCTTAGAGGAGAAAATAAGCGAGCTCTTTCTTGCACTTACCGTATAGTTCCAACCCACTTACCATTGTTCCATATTAACGACGAAGATTGGGAATTAAATCTCATAGTAGGCTTTTCATGCGTTGTTAACGAATATTAACGAGAACAAAGGAAAAAAACGGGAAACTTGATGGCTTAGCGAGGTTTCCTCTATTATAGGCACACGTAGGAGTAGCGGTTTTCAAATAAGACTTCTTAGTAAATAATAGTTGGTATTTGGTGTGCAAGTTGATGGTCCTTCATTAAGCAAATTATCTCCTTGACTACAGCCGATCTCCTTCATATAAATGATTTCGATGCAGTTAGTCTCGAGGCAGAGACTGTAATCAAATGACTGCGGAATACACTGAAGGCGCTTCGGAGTCACTTCCTACAAATAAGTCACACATCCATTCTTTCATGGTGCGATATTTCATTCGTGAATATCGCCATCTTATTAGTAAAAAATAGTTTCGAAATGGACATTACATCAAATGTGTGGTGGTTTTTATGTTCCTCAGCATCCTGAACTTTGAGGTATAGCAGTGCGAAAGAGACGCTACTAATATCCTTTTGTGTCGGACGATGTCTAATAGGATATGGGTGATTTCTTTATGGCAGACAGGCACTTGTTTTACGGAAATTTGGCTGATTTCATAGATTGCTACGTTTCAGTGGCGGTAGGCCAGCTTTATAGTTATGAAATTTCATCGCTAATATCCCTCATTACCGTAATTTATCACCATTTTCCTCATATGTGATATCTCATGGAGTTTTTCAGCCGATCTCAGAGCTTAACACGAGCCTATTAATATAACCTTTCTGCATGAATTAATATAACGTTTATTGGCGATGGATTTGGTTTTTGAGCCGTTTTTGTCGCTCGCATTTTAGGAATCGAAATCATCAGCTGCACCAAATTCGCATGAGGTGATCCATGGCTAATGAGATGATAATCCACTCTGATGAGAGCGATAACTGCTAAGGTCTTAGCTAATCTGAATAAATGCTATGTTGGTGGTTTTAGAGCCTGAAATTCATCCTTGTATTTGCATTCAACTGCCTGCACATCATCTTTTCACTTGTTGATGTTATGACTGATAACACTTCACTGATGGGACAAAGTAAACAGTGTTCATTGAGATAATTTCCTAAAGCATGTTTTGTGCATTAACCGTCGAACTGTGTAATTCTTAGGTAGAAGTACTTGAGGTGGATATATGACATTCAGAGCTCGCATGCAAGTTTGAAACTCTTGATCATCTCAAGAAATCCCAAGTTCAAGCTGTGCTAAGGTTTATCACATATTTTCAGTAGTGCCTCGTTAACAACTAGAATTGCTTTTTCCACGAATGCTTTCATACTTAAGAGAAAGAGATGTAGTGAAGCCTACGAATTAAATACTTCGTACCCTAAGTGTCTAGTAGTAGACACTGATCACTGAATTCTGCAAACATGTTCTTTCCTTGACAGCTATGATTTATCTCAAGCGAACGTCTGACGAAACCACTCTCTCAAAACTAAGATAATATCTCGGTCAGGGTTTTGACAGTTTGGATTTTCCTTCGCATTCTGACTTGTCGTCGCCTGGAAAACGTTGTTTAAGTTATGCAAAACCGCATGAGTTTCATCGCAGTGTCGAACTGAACATTTCCACTGACGAGTACAAGCCCATGTTTACTGCTTTGTCATCGAATGTTCTCTTCAGAATTGTGGTATTCGACGGCGAAATGAAAAACGGCCAGCATATTTCATGAAGGACAATGACAGATGCTGAGAGAATGACTAACGTTTGCGTGTTCATTCACATAGTTTTTTTCGTCGTCTGATATACACCAAAGCAAAAAAACTCATGAATGAACGCCGATCACATTGAGGGACTTTCAACGATCTGTTCAATATCAGAACTATTCATTGTCGGCACATAACATCCTTCCATTCATGATCAACTATGTTTCCTGATCATCAAGACATTTGTTAGAGTACGTCTTCAGGTTCCGGACCACAGAATCCGGCATTTGGATCGTTCCTTGGTCGTCTGACTGCGCTCCTGCTGAGGCCATTATCGTCGTAGTGGGGCTTCGAGTCATTAAATGTTGATGCGGTTTGTTATTGTCGATTCTGAGAGGGCCATTTCGCAGTTTAGTAATCGGTCGGTTGTTCTTAAATATTGGATGTCGAAGCACTTTTTCATTCGCATCTGCGAAAGCGACCTTCTTTGCTCAGTAGTTTCTAATGCACGCACGAAAGTAGGCGTCGAATTGAAAGCATAATACTCAAATAATTCACATCATGGGACGTGAACTAGTCGGAACTAGTCAAATCCATTCGCTCATTCGAACGAGATGAAAATTGAGAACGTGTAGAACGAGTTGTCGTTTTACTACATTTTAAACACACATGTTGCTGTCTTGTTGTCCTACTATGAAGAAAAGTGCAATCTTCTCTAGTTGTACTTCTGATACTCCGCGTCCTTGGTTATCCTCTACGCTGTCTGATTGAAGAAATTGAAAAGCTTCTAAGGGATGCTTAAACTTTGATAAATACTGATTTTATTAGGGATTTTGCGGTGACTTTGAGGGTTAAATTGGATGGTAAAGTTAAGTTACTAATGAAATAATCCATTTTGGTCTTATCATTTGCACATTTTCACTTCCTTGAATAGTCTTCGTCTTGACGAATTACGAAGAATCGTGCACAGGCCAATACAATTCATTCCTGACTGCTAATTTGACGTTTGGGCAAAGGTCTATTTTCGTTGCGTCTTGAAATCCATGTTAGAGATCTCCCAGATCATCATCATTTTCCAAGAAGTATTCACCTTACTGCAAAGATGGCAGCGCTTCCTGGCATCAACTTACGGCTGACTGGGGGTCCCACGCAGATATCCCGAGCTGTTTCTCGGTTTGTAAGACTCTGTTGATGATGAAGGCCCTAAAAACGCTTACTTAATACATACACTTTATGAAGTCGAGTGCACGGCGATTCGCCAACAGAATTATCAACGCTGGTGAACGGTTTATCTTCTAACCTTCATGGCTTCATATTCAAAAACAACTGCATATACCCCATTTGAAATGTCCTGAAACTCGGCAAGGATTAAATTCTGTTTTGTTCAGTATATCTTTTTGTGCCGTAGACGTCCTATTGATAGACAGCATAGCGGTCTTTCTGACACGTTTATATTGCTCGCTGTCAATGACTGTTGGAAAGAGCGACGACAATGCAGATTTTTTCACGGATCGAATTGATGCTCACCTCAGTAGGCGTCGTGTCGGCGAGAACAGTTGACGGCTAATTCGATAACAAGCGACCAAACATCGAATTCCAAGTGTTTGCTAGAACAGTGAAACGATCCGCGCATCAAAATGATGCAGTTTTTGTCGAACTCATGTCGAAAGCAAAACGCGTTATGGAAAAGTACAAGTGAATAGTTGGGTGCTTGAATCATTAATGAAGCATCCCACCCGGTCTGCAACAGCACGATACCGCCTCATAATATTGGCCGTCATGAATTCGAAGTACCTCGGAAGAAAAGTAAACAGCAAAGAAATAGAACTTTGCTGAAATCTACACAATGTTGTTCACAAAGCAGAAAAAAGGTTCCATTAGGGTTTTGCTCCCAATGGCGAGTTAGTGAAGCTTTAAAACTATGAGCAGTGACGCTGAGATATTTGCAAAACTCGGGGCCGATGGTGTTTGCTGTGGGGAACGAACGCGTGATTACCCTTTCCGGGGGCTAACGCGTTCACCACCACAGCATGCAGGTCCTTCGTTTCGTCTGTCTCTCAGCTCTCTGTCACTATAAACAGAGTTAGCCTCCGGAAAGGATAACAGCGCATTCGTTTCCTACCGCAGAAACCTGCGGTCCGAAGTTTTGCAAATATCTCAGCATCATTGTGGTTATAAGCAATGTTTTTTTTTTGTAAAAACAATGACAATTACAACTCATTTGAAATGCGAAGATATCGTCTGTTCTTTCTTTGAATTGTCTAGAAAAAACCGAAAGACCGCATGAAGGAAGACTATCATTCAGTAAT